CAGTTGCTCCATGATCATCCATGCAGGTCTCCTGGCATTTTGCCTGACTCCCTCTTTGGTGGGACGCATCGCTCCTGACTTTGGAGGAGGTGATCCTTGAATACTAACCAGCTTTCTTCGGCCCTTCAGGGCTTTGTATCATGGTACTCTACCAAGCAGATGCCTCAGCAGACCAAAGTCTCCTCTCCAGAAGTTCAAGGCAGCAAGTTTGTTGTGCTTCCTCCCCGCTGTTCTCAGGATCCTCAATTCCACCATTTCACAGTCACTGCAGCCAAGGCTGCCTTTGAGCTTCACAGTCCCACCAGCCGCAGTTGTTGTGAGATCAAGGCCCAGAATACAGAACCTTTCCTTGTAGGCTCACCTTGTGCACTCACCTGAGTGCCTGGTTGCTTGTGTTCACACATCTGCTCTTGTCTTGTGACAGCCACTGTGCAGCTGACATTGTGTGAATGCACGTGCATGCACATATTTGTGCAGGACTCCATGCAGGTATAGATGAGCACGTGCGTGTGTCCTTGTTTCCCCTTTATCACAAGGGTATGTGCACTTGGCAGCACTCTCCCCTGCTCTGTCCATGAGTTTTGCAGGGAAGCAGGTTCCCGGGCTCAGAAGGAGCCTGAGAGCAGCTGAATGGAGACAGCACCAGCCTGGCAGAGATGTGTGCAGGGAAGAGGCACTGAAACACAGCTCCTTTCTCCAGAGCCCTCCTTTTCCTCACGCTGCAACAATCACCCTCTGTTCCTGCAGAATTCAGGCCTCAACAAGGACCGTATCAGTTTGGATCCTTGGTATAGGAGAAGCAGACTGCTGTGAGGCTCCTGATGGTGCCTATCAGTCATGGATTTCCACCCCCTGGCCACTGCTAGGTCCTCCTGGGAGTCAGTGCTGGCGCCAGGGCCATCTCCTCACACCCATCTATAAAGGCCTTCCAGCATTGTTCTAGAACTGCATAGCAGAGGGGACAGATTCCCATCCAGCCCATGTCAGGCTGGTTCTCCTGAAGGCAAAGGGGCAGCTGTCGCTCCTATGCGTGTGGGATATCACAGCAAAGGGATCACACAGTGCCAAGAGTAAACTGATCCCCTCCTTGCACCAGATGAATGCTCAGCATTTGGAGTGGTTCACTATGGCTGCCCATCAAGCACAGTGTTCATAGTTCCTGGGAGCCCTTCCCACACGCCCTGCCCAGCACCTTTGACATGGAGGGCACCTTCTGCCTGAGTAGCAGCTGGCAATGCCAGAGACATCCAGTCCTGCAGAATGCTTTCATTAAGGCCACAAGCAGTCGGAAGGAAGGCACCCTTGGTCAGTTTGTGCATGGTCCCCAACCGGGGCACACAGGTGGTGACAGCGTAGGTCACAAATGTGCTGTGGAGAACACAGGCTGGCTGGAGGAAGGGGCTGACCAGAATCTCATGATGGTGCAAAGGAGCAAAGAAAAGGATTTTCCTCTTGGGCTGGAACCACCCCCAGAATAACACGGGGTGGGGGCTGGCTGCCAAGGAAGTAGACCTGCAGGAAAGGGTTTTGGGTGCAGGAGACACCCGGCCAGACAAGAGCCAGCAGTGTGCCCTTTCAGCAAAGGCAGCCAACGGCCTGCGGAGCTGGGGGCATCAGGGGGTGCCCCGCAGTGCGTGGGGCCAGGCAGGTGGGACGAGGGCGAGGCGGGTGCACAGCCACAGCCGGAGCCACGTGGGGTTGTTGCTGGTGCTTGGAAGTCCCCTTGCAGGGCCTGGAGTTAAACAGCACAGGCCCGAGGGAGCCTCAGAACAGCCACATTGGGTTTCGTCCATTTTCTGCATCGGTAACGTTTCAAGAGCTTGTTGTACAAGCTTTGTCCCAAGCCCAAATCCAGGACCTCTGGCGCTGAGATGAAGTCCTGGCAATGCAACAAATATCTGTGCTTGACACTCACTCTAGTGACACCTTGTGGAACCTTGGATCTTGCCAAAGGACTGAGTCACTGAGGAGTTTGCTGCACTAGCCAGCACTCTTGAAGGTCTGTCCTTGGTGCAGGAATCACTATTGTCTGTGTGAGCAGAGGTGCTGACTGCTGAGCAGAGGGCACAGCATCAGGACTTCCTCAAAGCCCCCCAAAGCCAGGAAGCAGGAGGTGGGCAAGAGGTAGGGATACGACATCACCAGGGTGGCGGACCCATACCAACCAAAGGGATATACCATACCATGTGATGTCACACTCAGTAATAAAAGGTGGGAAAGGGGTAGGAAATGGGGGAGCTCTCATTATGAAGACATCTGTCCTCCCAAACAACTGCTCTGAGTATTAAGGCCCTGCTTGCCAGGAGATGGCCAAGCATCACTTTGAGGGGAAGTAGAGAATAATTTTCTTTTCTCTCTGTGCTTCTGTGCGGCCCTTGCTTATTTTTCTCTCTTACTTCTCCCTTATATCAAATTTCTTTCTTCTCACCCTCTTCTGATGAGGGGGACTGAGAGTGGTTGTGGTGGAGCTCACCAAAGAACATAAGACAGACCACTTGTCAGGGCAAGGCACATGCTGCAGGTCCTGCTCGTGCTGAGATTCACTGGCAAGTTATCTGGAGATTTTCTGGGATTTGTTGTGCTTTTTCTTAGAAATGGACAACTCTATTCATCAAACAACACGTTGATTCACTCCTACATACTCACCACATGCTCACTGCCACATGCCAAAAGATATGGACAGCACAGCTCTGTACAGCACAGAAGAGCTCTGTGGCTGCTCAGGTGAACTGCCATGCAGATCCCAAACTTCTCCACAAAAATCTCCTTCTGTTTCGGGACACCACAGGCAGTGAAGTGGATTAACTGCTTCATACGGTAAATTTATTGGAGAGAGGGAGTGACTTGCGGAAAACGGACTCCAGAATCAATAAGATTGTAAAGTAGGTATGTTTATTCAGTGCTGGGCAGTATTGGGGATAGTCCCACCAAAGTCATGCGCACCTGACGTGACAACTTGCCTTGGTTATATGCAGTAAAGAGTTACATATACATGAAGTTTCACAATACGCCTATACATATTCATAACCTGTCCCCGCTTCATATTAAAATTAGATCCAAAGAATCATTTCCATTAAATCCTCCCATCTGCACTTGCACAGCGTGTCCTGGTGGTGGTCATTGGAGGTCATGGGGATGAAGGTTGATTACTCGTCCTCGTCACCACTAGTTGACCTCTTGTCTTTGCACAGACTCGGTTGCTCCTTGGCTCTTGTCCATCCACAAGACCAGTTTTGCCAGTTTCTTAAGATACGCTTACACTCTTATTAAGAGACTGACCTTGGTAAGGGGCCCAAGGCTTCTTGCTTTAGTTAATTTGCACAATGCAGCATAGTTAGTAAAGACACTACGTAGCATCCTAGTTTAATGCTGTCAGTGCTGTATCTCTACTTGAAAAGATTCTTCTAACTCCCTCTCTCAGGAGAAAGTTAACACTGCCTGGTGGGTATGAAAGGAACAGTAGGGGTCTGCAGGGCTTAGAGAGTCATTCCTTTGGGTGTCTGAGAATTCCACATTTGAGGTGTGCTGAGGGAGGTATGGGGGAAGACAACGCAACTAGCCAGGTACAGAAAAGCCAGACAAGGTGTTAGGGGTGGTGATAGAGGGGGACCGAGCATCAGGGAAGCAGAAACTCCCAGGGATGTGGCCCTGGGTGGGTGCCCCATGTGGCCCATCATTGTGAGTGCACGTGACCCACTGAACCCACACCTATTTCTCTGCTGACTCCCCACCCTTTACCCTATGGAACAGGTTGTCCTTGTCCCCTCTGGGCTTGTGGCATCCCACACCCCACTGGAGACAGGTTCCTCTTGCAAATGCTACGTTATCCCACCAGACAGCACACGGCCAGAGCTCCTTAGCTGCTGCATAGCATGGTTATTCCCTTCTTTCTGGGAATGTGGGAGAAAAATCAAAGTGTCTTCTGCTCCCAGAGGAAATAGGAACATCCCAACGGAGCTGAGGTGAAGGTGCACAAGTTTGGTGGGGAAGAAAAGGCAGTTGGAGCTGAGGAGGTGAGGATCCCACTGGGAGAGGAGATGAGAGCAGCCCCTGCACATGATGTGGCCTCCACAGCTTCCAGGACCCCTGACTGTGACAATCCTCAATGGTTGCTCCTGCTGAAGGAGAGAGAAGCCCCAGGGAGCATTCTGGGCACAGTCAGACCAGAATATATCTTGTCACTGAATCTCCCCAGGTGTCACATCCGGCAGCTCTGTTCTCTTGGGGCTGGGAGGTGCTTTTCTGACTCTCTCTCCCACAGCAAACAGGAGGGTCGGTCTCAGCATGCAGCGTGGGTATCTCATCCTCACTGCCTTTCTGGGGCAACTGCTGGGTAAGTGCTGGCTTTTAATCAAGACATAAATCTTCTTTCCCCAGGAAGCCCTCGTCAGCCTTACCACATTTATGTGGGGAACAAATCTTGAATCACAGGGAAATGTCTCTGCAGCCCCTCATTTTTCCTTTCCTATAGAATAAGCCAGACTGTGTCCAAGTGGACTCATTACCAGGGTGTCCACTCTGTCTTCTGCCTGATGTGTTCCTGCCATGGCCTCCAAAATCATTCCCTCCCTGCTCATCAGCACAGCCAGGGCTCCCTCCTGCCACCACTCACCTCAGCTTTGTTTGTACTGATGGGACTTGGAGGCCCCTGAGATGACAGGATCGAGGAAGCAGGTTGAACCTTTTCTCCATAGCTGCGTGGGCCCCTCAACCTGCTGGAGGGTACTGGTCCCAGCACACAAAGCCAGGCGTGACAGGCCGTGCCCTGGTCCTCTGGGCAGAAGGACAGCAGGCAGGAGGAGCAGGCACACAGCACAGCTCTCCTCAGGGTCTGCTCTGGCCAGGGAGCTCTGCCCCCAGACCACCTTGCACTGCTCCAGCCTTGTGACATTTCAGCCCAGTAAAGGACAGGGAGACTTATCTCCCATAGGTCTGAATTCACTCCTGTTTGGATGCCTCAAGGCTTCCTTTTAGAGCTGCTGAACTTCTCTTTCTTCCAGAAACCACGGGGCAGGTGTCCGTCACCCAGGAAGAAGGACAAGTCTCCGTGAAGCAGGGAAACACCTTCCAGACCAATTGCACATATGAAACCTCCAGATTTTATGGCTTGCTCTGGTACGAGCAGAAGAAGGGACAAGCCCCTCAACTGATTTCTTATCAAGCAGGAGCAGGCACCAAGCAGAGGGACCGTTTCACCATGGAGCTAAACACTGAGGAGAAATCCAGTGTTCTGCGTCTGAAGGAAGTCAAGCTTTCTGACAGCGCCTTGTACCTCTGTGCTGTGAGTGACACCCTGCTGCACAGAGCTGCCCTGGCTGTGCAACAACACCGGTGAGGGAAAGGATGTACCTGTGCAAGGCATAGGTCTGTGATGGGGCCCTCAGCTCTCCCCTTGCAGCACTGTTTCACATGTTCACTCCATGACCTGCCAGCCAGATCCTCTTTCCCAGACAGGCTGGTGTATGTGGCTGTGTGGAGATTGCTGATCCTGACTGGGTGACATGGACCACATGGTCCTTTCCTCCCTTCGCAGGCTGCCGGAATAGGACAGAGCCTGCTGGGAAACAGAACTCCCCTGGGGGATTGCTCTCAGCCCCTCAGCCCCAGGTTGAGTAAATTCCTGCCAGCCCATGATAAAGCTGCTTGCTTCAAGCCCTGTCCAGCCCAGCCCAGAGACCCCTAGAAGTAACTCTGACAGAGATTTGCAGGGTTCTTCCCTCTCTTCAATGAGTCAGTCAGTAAAGTGCATTTGCACCCCAGCCACCAGGTTATCTCCAGACCTTCAGCCAGTTCATGTCCAAAGCCTGGACCAAAGAACAGGACCTTTGGGACTGAATACCTTCTTCTGAGCTTAACAGACCATTGTGGCTGGCACATCATCCTCTTTGTCATTATCTTCTCCTCATCTCTGAAGGCGATGGGGAATGGCCTCCGTTTGTCACTGTGGGGAGTGACCACCACCCGCTGAATACCCCAATTCACTTTTTACTCAGCACGCTCACCTTCTTGGAGAACTTGTACTCCACCACCATTGCTCCCCAAACACTGGAGACTTTCCATGTCATCAGGTGAACCATTTGTGTTTCCAGCTGCCTGGCATATATATTTTTTCCCCTTCTCCAGGGTATCACTGAGTTTCTCATTTTCACAATGTTGCTCTCTGATTGCCACACATGAGGCATTGCATTATACCTCAGTCATGAGAAAGAAACTTTGCTTCCTGCTCTCCTTCAGAGCATGGGTGCGGAGGGGGTACCAGGAACACCATTGCCTGTTTCTGCTCTGGTGCTGGGCCTCTTCTGAGCCTGGCCTGTGAGGCTATAATGCTGAACAAGATCCTTGACTGTATCCACACACTTTCCCTGTTCCCTTGTTTTTCACTCACCACAAGGCATTTCCTGCTTATGCCTCCCACCTTATCCCACCCCATCACGGTTCCCATTCTCTGAGTACTTTTCTGTCTATATATGTAGTTTACTAAGAAGTGCATGGCAAGTGAGTTTGGGCACTGGAAAAGGTTCCCCATGGAAGTGGTCACAGCAACAAGCCTGCTGGGGTTCAAGAAGCATTTGGACTGTCATGTTAAGGGGTGTAGCTGATTAACCATTATGGGCCCAGTCAGATTCAGGGTACTGAACTATCACAATCACAAATTTCACCAATAACACATAAACCATTAGGGGTCCAGTTGGATATTCACTAATAGCGTATTAACTGTTAGGGGTCTGGTTGGATTCAGAACACTGAACTATCACAGTCACAGATTCACCAATAACGTATAACCACCCTTACACTAGTCGCGCTTAATGAGAGCTATAACAATGCAATTAAGTACGATTTATTACAGCAACAGGTACACGGGTTCTTTGGATTGCCGGCGATACTGCCTGCAAAAGCAAGCTAGCATGCATGAAATACACAGGTGACACAGGCATTACAGGTGTTACAGATGTTACAGGTGTGACAGGTGCGCAGCCTAGATATTAACGCATTAAAAGGATCAAAGACTCCAGAGAGATTTTATAACCAAGTGTTCAAACCTCACCCAAATGTGTCCCAATGGGGGGGAAGAGAGGCTCAGCCCATTGACTGGTCCCAGGAGTCAGGAGGTCCTGAGGATGTTGTATTCCCTTGGGATGGTATCTCCCCTGATGGTGGTATCTTCCCTAACATCCCCTCTCTCTTAGGCCAATTTATATTATTTTCTGTCTTTTAGGTGGAGCTTGAGTGACTCTAGTCACGCATATCTTAGTTATAGAATCATAGAATCATAGAATATCCTGAGTTGGAAGGGACCCTTAAGGATCATCAAGTCCAACTCTTGACACCGCACAGGTCTACCCAAAAGTTCAGACCATGTGACTAAGCGCACAGTCCAATCTCTTCTTAAATTCAGTCAGGCTCAGTGCAGTGACCACTTCCCTGGGGAGCCTGTTCCAGTGTGCATCCACTCTCTCTGTGAAGAACTTCCTCCTGATGTCAAGCCTAAACTTCCCCTGCCTCAGCTTAACCCTGTTCCCGCGGGTCCTGTCGCTGGTGTTAATGGAGAAAAGGTCTCCTGCCTCTCGACACCCCCTTACGAGGAAGTTGTAGACTGCGATGAGGTCTCCCCTCAGCCTCCTCTTCTCCAGGCTGAACAGGCCCAGTGCCCTCAGCCGTTCCTCGTACATCTTCCCCTCCAGGCCTTTCACCATCTTCGTAGCCCTCCTCTGGACACTGTCCAACAGTTTCATGTCCTTTTTATACTGTGGTGCCCAGAACTGCACACAGTACTCGAGGTGAGGCCGCACCAGCGCAGAGTAGAGCGGGACAATCACCTCCCTCGACCTACTAGCGATGCCGTGCTTGATGCACCCCAGGACACGGTTGGCCCTCCTGGCTGCCAGGGCACACTGCTGGCTCATATTCAACTTGCTGTCTACCACGACCCCCAGATCCCTCTCTTCTAGGCTGCTCTCCAGCATCTCATCGCCCAGTCTGTACGTGCAGCCAGGGTTTCCCCGTCCCAGGTGCAGGACCCGGCACTTGCTCTTATTGAACTTCATGCGGTTAGCGATCGCCCAGCTCTCCAACCTATCCAGATCCCTCTGCGAGGCCGTTCCACCCTCATTCGAGTCCACAACTCCTCCAAGTTTGGTGTCATCAGCAAACTTGCTCAAAATACCTTCTATTCCTACATCCAATACATTATGATTGGTGAAAAGTTCTCCCGTCTCTGTTTAAAGTAATAGGCTCCAAGAAATTCAGAGCGCATGCTCAGTGTGGGGTGGTCACACCTTGGAGGCAGGTAGCTTTTGGGATGGAGGTGTGTTTTGGTATTATAATGATATTATAATGAGCAACAGTACACTAGGGTACAGCGTTTGTCAAAACATGACAGGTCCTTGGATCAGGGTAGCAAAAAGTGCAGCTTATAATGCAGCTACACCCCACCCTGAAAGCCTCTTCAATGCTGTACATTTTCTTTGAAATGTGAATGTTAGTTTTATTTTCCTAGTTACTTCAGGAAATTGCACCACACGGACAACAGTCTCATACCCGTAGTTTGCAGGTGAAGCTAGAGGAGATGGACTTGATGACCCTTGTTTGTCTGTTCTAACTTAGTATATCCTAGCATTCTGTTTTTCTATGGTTTTCAGAGACAATGAGATGCTATGTGGACGATGCCTTTTTACCAAGACAAGACAAGATTAGGCAAGGCCAGGCACAGGCACACATGCAGCAGAGCTGGGGCAGGGCTATGCTAGGCCTGAGCTTATGCAGAGACCCTGGGCTAGGGCTCAGGCCAGAGCTGGGAGCCATGGTTATCCTGGACTTTGGTGGGCTTGGTTCTGATGCTTGTTGCCCTTGCGCTGCCACCTGAGCTAGCACTGCCTCCCAGAGAACCTGGCCTGGGGAGAGGTCCCCCCATCCTCACACCATGGAGCAATAGCCCCATCCCCCATCCTGGTCCCTTGGCACTGGCAGCATGTACAGTCTGTGTGAAACTAAATCACCCCCACACCACAGGACCCCAAGGTTTGCAGATGTGGGAAGGCCCTTGCCTGGGAGTGGAGAGCAGTGGTGCTGCATGAAGCAAAAGGGCCACTACATCCTCATGGCTCTGGGAATGACAGAGGAGCTTGGTGCCTGGGAGAAGATCCCCCAGCGTGTGCCCTGTGGTTGGGCTGGTGCATACCCTGTGACATTCAGCGCCCATATACAGACCTTGCTGAGTGCACAACCAGGTCGCATTCTCACTGCCATGTCTCATCAGAGACACTGGGATATCTGCCCCCACATGATCTCTTTTCTGGAGCATGATGGGGTTGTACTGCCTGTGGGCCTCTGAGTTCCAGGGCCTGATGAAAGATGATCCATGCTTGGGAAAAAGAAAGCAAGACAGAGCAGCCATGAGTGTTTGTGCACCGGTGCCTGTCCTGGGCCTGCCTTCATAAAAAAGGAGTTGAGTTCACAGGGCCTGGGGACTCCAGTGTGTGGCCTGATGGGACTAGTACCAGTACAAACCTGTGGATCCCCTCAGCCCTATGCATCCTGGCAACAGCTGGGCCATGCCAGACACTGTGCTGTAGTGTGATGGGGGTGCACAGGGAAACTGTTTCTGCTCTCCATGCCCAGACATGATACCCATGATCACGTGGTGGAAGAAAGGTGAATGTGGAAGTGAGACAGAGGGCCATCGCCAAGAAAATTACCCATTCCCAGTTTCTGCAATCCTTTGAGATCATCTTTGTCTGAACCTCCATCCCCAGCACAGCCCCACCCATAGCAAGACAAACACTCTTCCCCAAGGGCTGGGGTCTACAATGTCAACAGCGCTTGTCTAGGCAGAGACGTCACAAGTCAAGGACTGGTGGCCATTGGTTGTGGAGGAACTAAAGATGTCTTCCTCACCTTCAAGAGACACTGCCTGAAAGAGGAATTGCTGCAGTATGCCCCACCCTCCAGTGCCTAGAGGAATGAGGCAGTGCCCCCAGCCTATTCCCACTAAGGAATGGTTTTCTCCCTTGGCCATCAGTATCCAGATGAAAAGACCACACAGGGACACACTCAGGGTTGCTGCAAATGTTTATCAAGGCTCAGGAGGGAAAGGAGGTGACTCCAAGAGGAGGCCCCGAGATCGTAGCACAGCAGGAGCAGACAAAAATCTGTTCATCTTTTCCAATGGCAGACTTGCAACAGGGCATCAATCTACCTGGTCCACATGGGGAGAGGGGCTAGCAGGTCTCTCCAGGCTGGTTTCTGGGGGCCTCACACAAAGGAGAGGGCAAGAAAGAAAAGAAAGAAAAAGAGCGTGTAGAAAACAGGATAGGAAGACATTGGTCATGTTGTCATAGACTCCGGGCTGGCCCCTTCCTATCTGTCTTTACAGGACAAGCCAGAGAGGGTCAGGTCCTCTCAGAACAACAACATGAGGTCTCTTCTTCCATCCATTTTGGCCAGCAGCATGTTCTGGGTTCCTGGGGTCCTGGTCTGGGGCACTGTCTGGCATCTTTAGCAGGGGCGGCACCTGCTGCCACAGTAGCGGCTGGTAATGCAGGAGAGGTCACAGCACCCAGAGTTGATGGGGACTCCGTCACAGCTGAGGATGCTGCCAACGGCAGCAGAGGTGGAGGATCCCACAGCCGTGTTCTGCGGGAAGGAGCTGAGGATGGGGCCGGGCAGGGTCACCACCACGGGAGAGGGCTGGATGACAATGGTGGAGTTCTGGCACTGCCTGACACAGGGCTCGTTGCAGCTGCTGGCCAGTGGGGTCGGGCCGCAGGGCTGGCATGGCCGGCACTGGTCATAGCAGGACATGTCTGGGGGCAGGAGGTTCACCTGGGAGAGAGGGCAGATAGGAAGTTTAACATGGGCATGCATGAGGAGCAGCCAGTCACCCCACCCTAACAGATCCAAGGCACAGGCAGTACTGTGAGCTGGAGGCTGTGCAGGGATGTGCGAGGCATTCTTGGCTGCATCCTGACAGGGCCCAAAATGAGCCACCACAGCCAGGATACACCCTAGGCTTCAGCATAAGAGCCATCACACCAAAGGCCCAATCTTCCTCCATGACAAACCTTCTACAACTTGACTCTCCCACAACCAGCAGTCCCAAGATATGGCAGGGCACACAGCTGATAGCAGCTGAAAGGTCCAAGGAACTGAGTCCTCCTGTGGGACAATGAGGGGAACAAGAAAAGGCTTCACAC